AACCAAAATCAAAGTAGACTATCACTCACCCACACCAGATGGAAAACTCTACAGACTGTCGGTTCACACCCCATCACAAGCCAGCAAAACACCCACGAAACAATATATATATATATCTATTTGACGATATATATATATAATTATTCATAGTGCACAGTACAATTCGTAGTGTCATATGTTTGCATACTGTTTCACAAGTGTCTTTGTAGTTTGGTAGTCTCTTTGTAGAGCTGCATAGTGTCTTATGTGTGTACTATATGCCAGCCATACAGAGTGCCACTGTAGTATGATATCATCTATGTAGTGCTGTGCACAGTACGTAGTACTACCGCATAATGTATTGGTAGTTTGTAGTGCTATTTGTGTCATCGTCTCTGTAGTGCTGTGTACAGTAGTACATAGTACTGCTGCATAGTATATTGGTAGTTTGTAGTGCTATTTGTGTCATCGTCTCTGTAGTGCTGTGTACGGTAGGATAGTAGTACTGCATAGTACACTTGCAAGGAAAATGAGCAATGCGAATGACAGAAACCAAATTGCAGCATTCCATAGCGATCCTGATAACTTTGTGCAAGAACTAAAAGCAGGATGCACCGGGAGATAACACCAAATAAGCAAAAGAGCCAAGTCAACTGATAATGAAAGCCCTCTTCTCGCCGCCAACACCAATGTCCACAATGTCACTCTCCTATGTGGCGCTCGGTGCCCAGACCACAATCACACAGCACCTATCGACCTAGACGTCCTATCTACAATAGGTCTTCGTGTAGTACAGCAGCCCGACGACGAACGAAGACTCCAACTGAAGCGGCCTGCTCATCACCACCAGGTAAGTGCCCTCTTGCATCACCCACACCTCGTCTTCCCACCCTCGCCGTCCCTCACCCAAGGACCTCCACCCGATCTCCTCGTCTATGGCGCCAGCAGCCCGGCTATGGTTGCTGCGCTCCTGCTGCGCCCTCGCAGCCTTTTTCCACGCGGCCCGCCAACGCCCTTCTTCCTCCTGGCCTGGCGATCATCAAGTAAGCCATCGCTCCTGTAGCGCTGGTGCCAACCAGCCAGCCCGAATGTTGAGAACGAGTGAGCCTCACTCTCTTTTGCTTTGTCTGGCTGGGTGTGGTAGGCTCTGGATGCTCAACCTCTGTCCCAGTAGCTGCGCCCAGCGCCCTTCAGAATGTGCCTGGGGCTCAATCGTAACTGAACTGGACCTCAGCATCTTTGCTGGGTGCAGCATCTTCAACCGATCGGGCCTACCGGTTGGTTGAAGATGCTGCATGCAGCAACCAACCCACGGGGCCCCATTCTGCTCACATCGGCCTGAAGAAAGGCCTCATCGATTTTCCGGAGGGCTCGCCTTCACTTACGGCAGGCGTGCACAGTTTCCAGCGGGCGCAAACCCTTTCCAACCTAGGCCAAGCACCTCATGCTTTCCACTCCCTGCCCATCCGATTTGCTGGTCCTCCAAGTATTTCCTTAATCCTTCACTGGCTGTTTCCGGTCCGACATCTCTCTTTGTAAGTAGATACAACTTTAGGTGCTGTCTTCAACAGCTCCTCTCTAGTGAACCACGTATCCTGTGTAGCACGGCGAACGTGTTCGCGCCCCTTCACGTTCGCGCGAACAGCTCGCGAACATGTTCGGGCAAACATAATTTTCTTTCCATAAATATATATATATATATATATATCGTCACAAACAGAACTGCCCGGTAAACCGAAGGCAGATAGAGAGAAGAGGACAATATATATATATATATATATATATATATATATATTTGACGATATATATATATATATATATATATATATCGTCACAAACAGAACTGCCCGGTAAACCATAGGCAGAGAGAGAGAAGAGGACAACAAACGAGGGGCTGTGGCAAACTGTTTCGTCGGAGTTTCACCGACTCATCAGGAGGCTGAACCCTCAACAGTCTGCAGAATCCCCTCACTGATTACACTGTAAAT